GGGTCGTTCGACAGTCGAATCCCACCCGAAGATTAGAACCCCTGCTGCCAGAGCTTCCACACCGTCCATCAGCGCCGCGGTTGCTACTAGCACCGCCGGGCACTTGGGTATTCATTTTGGTGGTTGGTTTTTTGAAAAAACAAATACGTGTGGCGCACTATAAGTTTCCGGAATGAACAAGAAAAAATACTATAAATGGTCAGAAATGAATTTATTGTTTCTTAAATTTTACGGCATGCCGCACATTTATGACATGAGAACTACCTATAAGGTCCGCAGAAACAAATATGTGTTAATAATAAATATTTTTAAAAGCGGCGTTGAAGTATTAGTATAACGAAATGTAGCTGGTTGCTGAATCACAGCTCTTGCCAATGCCTTTAGACGGTATCTAATTAATTTCCTAACGAGCAATACGCATGTTATCAGCATTTGAAAATCATATTATAGTAATGCGCGTGCACGTAAGGAACACGGAAACAAAGACGTGGGAGATATTTTAATGAATGCATTCACGTAATTAATGGATTTCGGAACAAATGTTTACTCTGTAATTAATCAACAACTCGAGATCATTTTCAATATTTTCAATGCATAATAGTGGTGTAATAATATTTACAATTCATGTCCTTGGTAATAATAGCCCTAATCTCTAAATCAGCGACACAACTCTTTAAATAAGTCCCAAGTTTCCAAACCTATATCGTACATCGGCTCCAAGGCAGAGTATTTTTTCGCTCGCAGGTAAACTAGTTCGATTTTTGAGTCGGTTGTTTAGGGTTTAATCTGGTTTGAAAAACATAATAAAAATACTTAATTTTTGTTTAATGTAATGTAGACTAGCGCTTGGTCAAAATATGAGTTCATGTTAAGCGGTAACATGGCCGACGATGCTTCACATTTGCTAACAAATGCCTTTTCACTCTAACCTCGAATACTTATTGTGTGCTCGTAGTAATAAAAAATCAAACGCCCTACCCTTGGTATAATAAAGCTAAATGTGATCATACGACGAAAAAGCTTTTAACACTTGAAAGACAAAATAATCGAAATACCCGAAACACAATTATTAAATAAATATTAGACAACATCACATACGTTGCTCCAATTCCAAAGTAAGTAACTAAAGCACTTGTGTTATGGAAACCCAAGACTATGTAGAAACTACTTAACTTACTTAACTTTTTCTACATTGATCCGGCCGGGGATCGAACCCGGGACCTCGGAGATTGCAACACCATGACAACCGGTGAGCAAGCTACTCAACTACAAAAGTCGTGGTAATGATGTGTGCGTGAAATTTTGTAGCCCTCCTGTTTATCATCATCAATCATAAAAAAGTTATCTACTATTTTTTTCTAATTCTTTCAACCTCTCCAGAAAAGATGTCATTTTGCACACGAGGCCATTATGCACCAAAGCTGCGGGTTCATGTTGACATTACCTGTCCGATACCTGGCTTGGCGCACAAATTTAAACACACCCGCTTAAATGGATTTTGATATGCATATGATTCTACATTAATCTTGTTAAACTAGGCGGACTTTGAAATTAGAAGGTTAGACCTCAAGTCTCAAAATGCCTGGAATTGTTTAAGGTCAAGCAGGGTAAATGCGTCATATAAATCTTGTAAAAATTCCGATTTATCCGAGGGCCAAAAGTACAAGCTATAAGCAGGCGCTACAAAAAAAAAAACAAAAAAATTACATTTGTAGTTTGACTATGTTTTTAATTTAAAGACACGAATAATGTTGCGAATGCCTACGGAAATGCCATGAGCAGATGTAAATAATAACATTTATCGGTATATTTGTAAGGCGCATGTAATATTACGAGCATTTGAGTTCTTTACACTTCTAACTTCTGAAGCCCGTAACTATTTAATCGAGCGAGCGGTGTATATGAGGCGCTGCCGCTGGCCCTATGTGACACGACACAATAATATACTTCCTTCAATACGTAGAAAAGGAAATCTGGGCTCATGCGGACACCAGCTTGTTATATCATACGTAAGCTCCTTCCGTGACGGCATAGACTTTGCTAACTTGATTTGCAAAGCGCCAATAGGTATATAGGCGTTACTATTTCTTAACATTTTGTTGTTTTGTATTACGTATAGGTAATATAAGTGTTTATGGCCTCCATATTGAGACGATTTCTCGTTTCGATCGATCATATCGATAAATATGTTGCTACTCCCCTGGTGTTCAAGTTAATCGTTAACGACATAAACCTACACTATCGAATTGTCGTTACGATCAGTCTGAAATGACGAATCGTGAAGACAAATCTTCTCCTCTATGGGGATTTTTATCCTTGCAACAAATAGTTATCTATAGTCCATTTGTTTAGGTACTTAACTAAATGTAAACAATCTTGATACATCTTTTTATTGAAACACATGCTTTACAAATCAATAGGTATAAAAATAGACATGCAATTTCATATGAAGCTAAGCATTTGTATTTTGTATTTGAAGGTAAGGGAAAATCATTTTATAAATGTATATTTCATTAAATAGACATCTCAAGATTGTTTACATTTATTTAAGTACCTAAACAGATGGACTATAGTGCCAAAACGCGGGTAAAACGCAGGCAATAAGGGTTTATTTTAGGAAATAGTATTGATATATTTTATGATTTATATATAAATATCACTGTCGTCACTGGATGAAGAGGTCCTGGTTTCGACTCCCGCTTAAACTGGTTCTGATCTTAGGTGGTTTGGGTATTTAGTGGGGTAGGCCTTCCAGTGTGGAGGGAGAGTCCCCACATAACCGCTGAGTCTCCCTGGGCTCAGGGGTATCCATAAAGATTTCCCCCCCGTCAAAAAAAAAAAGGTGTTTTGGGTAGAGCCCCGGAGTGAATTCCGTTGCAGATTACTGTACTGTACTGGTAATTCCCAAGTTTAAGATAAGATCATTTGATGTAGTTAAACTCGATATCGCTGTAAGGGTGGAGTCGCCAAAGATCTAAAGGAACTGCGTGGGCCCGAATGGTTGGAATTGGCACAAGACCTAAAGAAATAGCGTACTTTGGTGTCAAGATCCATTTCGGATCCAAAAGCCAAAGCTAACCAATTAAGTAAGTAGGTACATAAGTAAATTTAGTAGCAGTAGAGTTCCTTGTGAAAGAGTTCTTCCAGGGAAGTATTGCCGCCTTACCTATTTCTGCCGACAAATAGTAATGTGAGCATAACTGCGTTCCGGTTTTGAAGGGTAAGGGGTGCTGGTGAAATTACTGGCACATGGGACTTGTCAATTTACGTTTCAAGGTGACGGGCACAATATCAGTACCCCTTAGATCTTTGCGATATACAACTCTAAGTGGAATTGCAACTGTTATGGACAGGCGTGTCGCTTACCACTAAGCGCACGACTTGTTCGTTCAGTCACTAGGTACAGGGTACAAGAGCACGTCAAGCTTTTCACTTAAGAATTAAATCCAACTCTATGCCGCTTACGATAAGAACGGTCCAAAGTTCAAAGTGTCAAGCTTGATATGCTATTGATTGCACCATGAAAAAAGTTTACAAAATTCTTTATCCCGTGTACACGGATCTACTTCAAGCAGAGGCTGCGGACTTCACACGTTTTCCTACACGGTTGTGAATCTTGTTCAACTTTTAAGGTTCCATTACGATATTTTCTTTCACCATTAGCCATTGGTATTGCTACTAAAAATTTTACAAAAATTAAGTACCTTAGAAACAAAAAAATACACGAAATATTGTATGTACATAATTTTATTAGAGACATCTTAATGCTAAAATTAATCTATCAGTTCGTTACAAGCTTAGAAATTCTACTAATTCAAGAGTAAGTTGTAAACTTTTCATAAACAGTAGAAAATATGGGATTCACACTAAAATCAATTGTATTTTGTAGCACTAAAAGTTTACTGCATATAACGGATAATAACTGAAAATATACATAACATACACAGAAGTTGAAAATATTAGTTTTTTTAATGTTACTTTTTAAGAATGAAAAGTTATTGAGCATCACAATTTAGTATTACCTATTAATATTTATTACATTCTATATACAGAACACAGCATTGAATGCACTTAAAGGTAAATATTACTATTTTAAGGTATATATGGTAACTAAAAGTTATATTATTTATAAAAAAATCTTGTGACCACAATTTGAATTCTAATGGTGAAAATACTAAGTCACAATACAAATATTTTTGCGCAGTAACTTAAAAAAGTACTTCTCGGTGTTCACTGCCTGCGTAGTGTATCTTATCGTGAAATATTATTTACCCGAGAAAGGTTAATTGTAAAATACTAACAATCTCGCAGGACTATTTTATTAACATTACAAACAATAACTTTTGTTTTTTAAAGGTTATTGAATACCACGACTACTATGTTAATAATATTCAATTATCTTAAAAGATCGAACACAAACAAAAATTCCTTCGTGTCTGACGCTCTCTGTACGAGCTACGGAACGAACCAGTAGACCTAAGAATTTCTCCATGTGTTTGTTATAGATCTTTGTTTTTTTTTTGTTTTTTCTTCTTTCCCATAGCGCCATCTGTGGGAAATCTATGAAAGTTTTTTTTTCACTCACCACCTTTACCAGCGGCTGCCTCCGCAAGTCACTTTAATAATTGTAATATTAAGTTTATTGAATATCACGACATTTTACTACACTTCAATTATTTTTGTGAAATTACTCTACTAGTTTGTTATGATTATCGTAGTTAACTTTTGTTCCATGATTTTTTACAAAACACAATAGATGTATGAAAACAAACGAAAAGTTCTTTACGCTAGCTCTTCACGCACAGAGTTATCACCGTTTAGAGCGATCTATTTAAATATTTTTATTTTTGAATTACTAAAAGTCATGGAACAAAAATTGTTGTTTATTATATTAGTAATATAGTCCCTTAAGGTTGTTAGTATTAAACAAATAAACCTTTATAAGATTTTTTTTTTCCACTGAGTGATTTTAAATAATAAAGTGAATACCAATATGTTTGAAAAATTGACACTACTTTTCACTAATATTTTTGAATATGCTTCGCACTATTTCTGATGATAAAATTTCAAGGTAGGTAAGGATGTTAAATTAACTACATTGCATCTTCCCCAAAGAAGAAGTAGAGAAGCGGTGAACAACAGACGCAATGGTGTCTAAAGTCCGGAGTTTCCGCAGTACTCGCCAATGCGGTCAGATATGCACTCGAAGATGTCGAACGACACGTCACAGTTGCGTCCGTTGTCTGAAACGTAAACGTGATATAGGGCGCTTTTAAATTAGATGCACAAGGGTCTAATTTAAAATCGTCCTATATAGTGGTGCCAAAATTACTGAAGCGCTATAGACGCGCGGCTGCCGCGCCACTGGAGCGCTTCTAAAAGCGTTTTATTTTGAAGGGGTTCTTAGACTAATTTGTTGACCAGTTTGACGTAGTGTGACGAAAAGTGTAACTACCTACGTACACATTCGGCACTCTTTGCGCATTTACGTATGTAAATACTAGCTAAAATAAAACTAAGAGGCACACTTTTAAATACAATTTAAAATAAATCACGTGCATGTTTTGTTCATTTAACATTGACTTACAAATATATGGACGACGGGTCTAATACAAAAACCACGAAAAAAAAGTCCCAATTCAACCTATTTAAACGTAGTGACATGTAAAGGAATATGAAAAAGCTAAAACGTTGAATTTAAATTGTAATGTCATCGCAATACTGTCTAATTTTGCTTGCTTCGCTGTCAGTCGAACAAACGAAAACTAAAGCGTGAATGACGCTCTGTATACGATTTTAACGCCCTATAAGTTCGGACACTTTTTAGCGCGGACCCGACGTCCATATAATTGTAAGTCAATGCCATTTAAGCAAAAAATGGATTGTAGATTGTCACGTAACTCACCCATAGGAACAGTCCGAGAGAACTTATCATGGTTTCTCATGAGGCACTCCCTAGATGCCTCCAGCACAGCCATGAAGTAACCTCGCTCATTGACGCCGTCGGAGTACAGGCCCACCAGACCTTCAAGGGTCGGGAATCCGTAGCCGTCCACCTAGGAAAAAGAGTAAGAGGATTTTAAATACCAGTTTCGTAGTTCGGAGAGAATTTTCTAGTCGTTTCCCTTCTAGAAATAAGAAAATCTTCTAGAAATCAGAGGAAGTCATAAAGGATTTATAAATAAAAAGAAGAACATTTCTGATTAGTACACGTATATGATAAAAAAAATGTTATTTTAAAACATAAAAGAAAGTTAGCGGTACTGTAACAGACAATAAAAAAACAACACAAAAGCAAAAAAAAGATCAATAAAACTAAATCCTTAGGATACTTCAATTAGACTAAGATAAAATTTAGAAAAAAATCACGAAACAATTGATTCCTATTAGAGAAGTGTCAATAATGCGACTAACATTAACATCACGCGTTGAGATATTTATTCATTAAATTGTGATATCACACGATAGTGTAAGTAATGTTTACACATCACTTTGGAAAATTAAGCATCATTCATACATAACATCGCCTGCGTTATAAGTTTGTGTAACTTAATAATTGTTATACCTACTTCGTTTACATTGCGTAATATCTATCTGATCTAGTTTACACGGAGTGAAGTGATAATGTATAAAACGCATCTCATTTTTAATCTGTGTGATTTGAATGATAGTGATATTACACTGTAATATCTGCCGTCCTACAAACCAAAACGCGGCTAAGTGACCAAATTATTTTTTTGAAATATCATTAAAAAACCATAACGTTGTTTATAAATTGTTCAATGATATTTCAGCTATGCATCGTTAGGGTAAGTTCCGATAAGTCGAACACGCTACCCCCCCCGAAGGGGTTCCCGCCTTGTCGTGGAGGGGGGGCTCTAGTAGCCGTGGTCGATTTCATCCCACGGTGAAGCTAAGAGGAACCCATGGGGCCGGCTGATGGTGGTAGGCTGGCCCGAGGAGGAGGGCGTTCCGCGTGGGGCTCGTCTGGCCAGCGGGACCGCGCGGATGCGCGAGGAGGAAAATCGCGGGGGGGGAGACGTGTCGGTGTGTCGTTGCCGCTCGTCCTGTCCTCCGCGACTCTGGCGGGGCTGTACCGCTTTCGATGATGCAGTGGCGGCGGGGCCGCGGGGGAAGAGACGTGTCGGTGTGTCGTTGCCGCTCGTCCTATCCTCCGCGGCCGAACGTGGACGGTTGGCCCGTGGCGGGCGCTCCAAGGGACTCTCTTCGGAGAGTCCGCGCGGAAGCGCGTTAGGGGCTGGGGGAGCAGCCACTGAACTTCACAGTTGAGTGGATGCTGTCCTGGCCCCCCATGGCCCCTGGGTAGCGGACTCGGGGGAGTTCGTTGCCCAGCATAAAGGGGCCCGGGATGGAAGGCTCGTCTGGTGTTCGGCGAGCTTCACATTCGGAGTCGGGGGACCCATGTGTCTCCCTTCTCGGGGAGGGGCTGCGCAGGGAGCCGCCAGTCGCTGGTGGGGGCGCGGACGAGTGCAACAGCGTACTCGTACCCCCACCTACAGCGGAGAGGAGGAACACTCCGGGGGTTTAGTGCGGTCGGGCTGCTCCCTTTCAGGGTTCAGCACAGTCCCACATAACCCCGGCTCTGCCCCCGCAGGGCCGGGGTATCTGTAAGCAGATTCCCCCGGATTAACGAAAAAAAAAAGTCGAACACGCTAACTAATTTTAACTGTTTTTAAAAGAGAATTTCGTAATTTATTTTTTGCTATTTAAAAAGGTTATTTGATCATTTGTCACTTGCGTTTTAGTTAGTGGACGGCAGATATTTTTACGGGAATATTGCAATACTTGTACTTTGCTAGTCTAATTTAATTCCTATGAACACATGCGGGAATCGAGAACCTTCTACTGTTTAACTGGCAAGTTACTGAAATCGGCATTGATTATTATCAACTTGACAAAATTTGTTTTATATTCGTCTTGTGATTATAAATCTAAGTACCTGCCATAAAAGTGTAATTGTATTTAACCTGGATCATGCAATAGGCCTTGAACGGGATTGTTAGTGTTTAAAAAATAATTTATAATAAAAATAAAGTGGAACAACTATTTATGACTCACATTTTTGTTTTATTTTTATTAGGGTAGGTAAGTGCATCAAGACGGTTACACGCTATAAACAATCTAAAAGATTTTTAGGGTTCCTGTGTACATAACCATAAACTGTTCTTTAATAATGAATTTTTATTCATAAAAACAAATACCAGTACACATGCTGCAAATCACAAATAGCCAATGAATTTTGAAGAAATTACATAAAATTTGGTTATTATTCGCTTACTGTAGTAAGTATTTTTTGTTTTAATTAAGAGTGGTTACAAACGGCGACTTTCAGCAGCGATGCAAACGCGCGTTCGTGAAACGCGCGATTGCATCGCTACAAACGCGCGACTGCATCTCGAAGCAATCGCCTATAAATCCCAAGTGCCAGTCGTGAGCTTGCATCGCTGCTTAGAATCGCGCGCGTGTGTAAAGGTAGACGATTAGCGACTGCATCGCGCTTGCATCGCTTCTAAAAGTCGCCGTGTGCAATTGCTTTTAGATTTATAGAGTTCTTGAATTTATGAAACTATGTTTTTCGGATTTCAATCGCGTGTATTTGTTTATTAAAACAAACCAACGTTTCAAATTTACAGGTCACGGTAACCATGCAGTCAGCGATTTAGATGCGAAAAATGGTTTCATTTCCAATTAATAAAGATTTGGTATTGTGTTGTACGTTATTTGTTTTAACTTCGAAAGCTGCGACTATAATTAAATGATGCCAAGAAGTTGTATGAAATCGATTTCCTATCATTAAAACAACTTATTTAATGATTTTGTGAAAAAAATCTGCATTGTTTTTCTTCTGATATGAATCGATGTAGGTTGTTTGAGATTTAAAATATTTTTTTTATAAAAGTGGCGCAAAGGTATTTGTTAGTGGTCAGAAGTTTCCTATTAATCAAAAATAAACAAGTACCTACATAAAAATTCCTTACTTATTATTATTATTGATACGATTGAACAAACACAACGAAAAATTCTTTCAATCCATATGGACACAAATCAGAGTCTGTCGCCTCAACGTGGCTATTAGTAAACTAGTAGAGTACTTTTACAAAAAATAGTCGAGTATCATGGTAGTAAAAACGTCGTTAAACAACCTATTTATACGTCTCACCGCCGGGCACAGGTTATGTCATTAAAAAAAATTCTTACCCTTTGTTATCTTTGCTTGGAATAGAACCCTTGAAACGTATACAGTTTTACGGTTGGTTGTTACGCCTATAAATAGCAAATTGGTGCAATACATTCGTGACAGATTCATAAACCATTAAAACTCGATTTAAAAACAATTTCACTGTCTTTTTTATACGGCCGACATGTTCACCTTGTCCATTTATGGGGCTAACAAGGGGCTTAATTTGTTATTCTCTTGTTTTGTTATAAATTAATAAAAAGAGATTCACAGATAGTATAGATACCTCTAGTTTAAGGGCTCGTTAAGCGCTGATAGCTCTTTGTAGAATGTGTTTCGTAATTTACATTACTATAAAAGGTATTACGGGGCTTATGCTTATGTGGAGTGATTGATAGACTTATTAATATAAAAGAAAAATAATGAATGGATAAAAGAAGTACAAATCGATGTAGACCCCGCAAACGATAGCATAGCGACTGCAATTCCTATTTAACAAGCTGAGAAGTTGAAACGCTGTGATAAGCGTAATACCCGTCAAAGGATTACAATATTCTATCTACTTTCCACGTAATTTTGTGCACCGTATGGAGTGATACTTACCTATATTAATTATTTCGTTTTCACATGAGACTCATTTTCTTAGCAATTAAAACGAGAATTCGTCTCGTAAACTGAAACGGCACAGTTCTCAAATTAATTGAGTTCAAACATGCTGCGGCGAATCCGAACCTGGTCATCAATTATGAAATCTCTGTCCCACTGCTGCTTGAGAAGACAAAGGTCTTCTTTATGCTCCTCTTTTCATCCCCGAATTGTACCTAATGTTTAGGTATAGTAAAGTTTAGTGATAGTTGTTTTTTAAACGACTTGACAAAAGGAGGAGGTTCTTAATTCGATTATATTTTTTTTGTGTGTGTTACGCCATTACTTTGACATTTGTGAACCGATTTCGTTCATTCTTTTTTGTTACAAAGGGAATAGGTACCTACCAAGGTACTACTACCAAGTGGTAACATGAAATTTGAAGAAAATGTCAAAGGGTATCAAATTAGGGTATAAATCAGGTTTATAATGGGTTTCGCTCACTTTGCATTAACCAATATCAGTAAAACTTGGGAAATAAATGTAATTCCACAAACTTTTGAGGTCCTTTTTTATAAAACAGTTACTATACTACTAACTTTGAACATACTATTTACTATTAACTTAGAAATTACATTTTCATGGCGAACATCCGTTACTTTGTACGTGTAACGCGTGTGACGGGTGACAATGCAAAATATTTTGAATCCAGAACCTCCTACTGATAATTTCTTATTTTACAAGAACATAATATCAAATAACTTAAGGTCGTGTAGAACTGTGATTAAGTCATATTTAGTAGAGGCGAAGCTGCAAATTCTTTAACACTACCCTTAAAATTGCGTGCTTATTGTTATTCTATAGGATATAATAATGGAGAGTGTGCGAAGGAATTGCACGATTAAAGAACGTTTCCATCATTAGGGGACGATAGGCTGGACCCCTATGTTGTAGATATTACAAAGATTCATACGAAGAGTTACGTTTCAACTTTTATATGTAATGGACACTTCCACTTTTATATGTAAAGCGAACGGCTATGGAGTGGAATTCCTTGCCTGCAGACTTATTCCCTGAACGCTCTAACTACGTTATCAAGGCGATAATGAATATAGGCATTATTTAGGTATGCATGCTCCATCGTCGACCTTATCGTCCCTTTCCATAAATGAGGTGGAGGTTAAAAGCGCACTTATTTTATCATAAAAAAATAAGTCAGAATTATTGTAACGGGTGTTATGTATATATTTCATCGAATGACGTCTTTGTAGTTCGCGTGTAGTATAAAAAAATATTGTGAGTGAAAGAGTTTGCAACAAAACAATTGAATGCACAACCACTTTTGACCTTTGTACACACAAGATTGGAATCACGAATGAAAATTATCAAGATATTTTAAATGTAGAGAGAGTTAATAACAGCGGAGAATACTTACGGCTTTCACTTTCCGGTAAACGCATTGCAGTAGGCACTGGAATTTAATATAAAAAACAGTAATTAGTGAGAGTCTAGATTTTTGTTTTGAATAACTTTACTGAAATATAGTTGCTTTGAATAGAATTTAATTAAGTAAGTGAAATTGTGGGTGAATAATTTTCGAAGCACTTACATTTTTTTAAATGTCAAACTCAAATTCGAATAATTTTTTGATAGGTGAGGTTGAGCACTTGAAATTTTATTGTCATATTGATTAAACTCTATTACTTATTCGTAAGGCAGATTTCACTGAGAATGAATAAGAAACTAGGTGTTGCTCTTTGTAAATAAACTTTGTATATATTTATCATTTATAATATTTATTTCAAATATGTTAGATCAAGACAACCTGCAAGAATGAACGGGTCGCTACCATGAAGTTTTGTCATAAAAATACGCAGAAGTTTTGGTGTAAAGTTTTTTTTTTCACTACAGTTTTAAACCTCGTAAATCATGTGTCAATGTTCTTAAATGATTTGCGATAGCGAATTTGGTTCATTTAAATCTTAAAAACTATCCAAAGAATTATAAATTAATATTGAAATTTATGGCTCATACAGCCTTTTTCACTAACGAGTTATTGTTTGGCGTAGAGTCACACACATTTTATTAGGCTACAATTAATTGTGTCAATCCAAACAGATATTTCAGGGAGTCGATTCAGAACCTTACGATAACTCAGTGATCGACCGATTCGATTTGATGTCGTACATTTCTTTTTTAATTTTTATTCATAACACCCGAATCGAACGTCAAACTGTCGTATTCGAAACCGAACCGAAATGACGTCACACCCGTATGATTACTCGTACTTCTCGACCGGCAAAGGCTACAAACGTTATTAAGAACACAGTTATCAAATAAGTTACCGAACGTCCTATTGTTTACAAAGTTCTTGCTTTGTAAGTAATATGGAAATCTCTTATTATTTTAATAAAGTCTGGATTTTGTTCAACTTCATTAATGTATTTTAATGCAAGACTAATTGCGTTCCTATATGTCTTAAGAATGTATGGTGACTATTCATTATATATATAAAAGGATTTTCATTGTTCTTGTAAGCTATTTCACCGACTAACGCCCTAAACTCAACTCAAATGTTCTGAATAGCTCGGAGAGCGCCCTTTGATTTGAGAGTGATATTCAATCGAACGATTGGGTTAAAATATCGAAAAGTTCTAAATCTGAGTCTAGGTTCAGTTTTGAGTTTCGTGCAGTTTAAATAGTTTGTCAATCCAAGATTCTGTAATTTATGGATTACATAAGCGTTACTAATACTGAAACTCACCCCAGCAATTCTCTTCTCATCATGTGTGAAGGGAACTTCTCTCTTGTTCCTCTTTCTCTCCGCCGGCATCGTGTGTTCCTCCTTTATCACGTCCAAAGCCTCTGGAATATTAAAATATTTTTGTGTTATTAATGCAATATCTACTACTATAAAACATATGCCAGATACTCAAGTAAAGAACATTACGCTAATGAATTCTTTGTTCTGTGATTACTGGAACAATGAAATTAATTTGTTGGCACTAGCAAGAACAACGCCTGAACATAATAATTAATAACAAAGATCGAACGCTTAGAAAAATTCATTAAATCTGGCTGGATTCGAACTAGCACCCTCGGGCAATTCGTGCCAGGTGCTTTGCCAATCAAGCCATGGAACGAACCAGCAGACCTTAGGAATTTTTCTGTGCTTCTTACAGACCTTCACGATAAATTTTCGCTTGCTCAGCTCATTGCTGTGTGCTTGGTTGAAAATCTTAGTATTCTGCAATACTGCGCTATTGTATAAAGGCAGTGGTTTTACAGAATCCTTGGATTTATATAACGCAGGCTACACAGAAAGTAATAATTATATAGAAGCAAACAGAAAACAAATAACTATTGTGGTAGGTGGTAGTCTTTTTGACTTTATCGTCCAATAAACGACATTTAACAACGCTTTTGTGAGAAAGCAGCACGGAGTTCTATTTTCCATAGTTTGAATTTTTGATAAGTCGCAATGTATGTAAACTACTTGTCTTAAGATTTCAGCGTGCAAGTGAGTACTTGCACCTAACATTCCACGAGATAATTCCGTAATATGATTTGAACTACATAGTCATACACAGATCCAAAGTCATCTGTACTGTGTACAAAGAACAACAAAGATGTAACAACGTTTCATAACAATTGAACGAAATTACGGGTTTTCGTTATTGGCCTTGTATCAAAAGATTTGAACACATTTCAAGTTTATGATTATTTTAGTGGCAGAAGAGTTCCTTGTGAAAGATTTCGTCCAGGGAAGTACTGCCACCTAACCTATTCCAGCCGCCAAGCAGTAATGTGACCACTACTGCAGTTCGGTTTTGAAGGATAAGGGTGCTGGTCAAATTACAAGCGCGTGGGACTTTCGACTCATGTTTCAGGGTGACGGGCGCAATGGCAGTGCCCCTCAAACCTTTGAGATTTAAAGGTCTGAGCGGCACTGTAACTGTTATGAACAGGCGTGTCCCTTACCACCAGGCGCAAGACTTGTTCGTCCCATCACTTGGTACTTGTATCATAAAAAAATTGCGTCTTTAAATTAATTTGTTATTAGAGAACACAGATATACCGAAATACAATTAATGTCATTATAATTTGTTACATACACAAAAAATACGTTGTTTATTTTGAAATTGGAATTGCAGAAATGTAATATTACATTGTGTATAAGGGAAGGTAAATAAATTAAATGGTAAATTACCATTAGCTATTAAACTCGATTTTTGGATTTTTTTACCGTCCGTGATACGTACAAAGTTTTTCATCACATTTGCGAGGAAATAAATGCAATGTTTATTTCTTGTTTAAATAAATATGGTTCACAACACAACAATTATGGATTTTGGAAATGACTGGTTTTTTTTCAACAAATGGCCAGCTATTCCATAGATAATACAACTCGTACTAAAATGTTGTAAAAAGCAAAGACGCATGACGGATTGTAACAAAAAATTCTAAATTTTTGTACAGAAATGTAATGAAACCATTTTTCCGGATTTAAATCGCGTATAATATCCATTCTTACGGTATGCAGGAGTTTACAACCTTGACAGTGAGTGCGGTCTCTCTTATATTGGACAAACAAAACGAAGTAATTGTATCCGCGTCAAATAACATATAGCAGATGTCAAACACCGTCGCGTAAGCAAGTTTGCAGTCTGCGAGCATGTCATGGATAAACTTACACATTCAATGAAGTTTGACAAACCCCAGGTCCTTGCAAAAGAAGTAATTGAAATTAAAAAAAAACGTTCTAATTTCAACAGGGAAGATGGTTCCTCCATACCACCAGTATGGAATCTAGTTTTTCTTCTGATGAAAAATTCCAAACAGACATAAGACTGTACTACTAATTGATATGTTTTAATTTATTCTAATTTCCATTATTAATTATTATTAAATTTAACTTAATAAAAATTCATATTGTTATAATAAAATAATTTGTAAAACATAATGTAGCGTAAATTGGAATGTTTCTTTGTAAAATAAAAAATAAGGTATTTAATTAATAATTTTCCTAACTATACGTATATATTAATAATATAAACCTACATAAATAACTCGATATTTTATACAGAAAATAATTAAAATCAACTATAAGAAATTCCTAATAATAAGTATTTAATTAACACGTGGCTGAATTGCAATTAAATTTCTGTTTAGATAACATTTTAAGCGAATGTTTTAATTTTGAACTTAAGTAACCTCCTTGCTTGAACTTGAACCTGACCTATGTAAGGAAGTATGTCGTGCCACAAATTGAAAAAAAAAAAAAACTTCTGTCTGTCGGTAGACCTTGGCTGTAATGGAAAGAAAATAGGCCCAAGGGTTTCATTTGGGGCATTATACTCAAGTTAGCCACCATGCAATCATACTATTTACGAGCAAGTGTGATGAAATAATATAATACCTACTGTAAAACTAGCGAGTGTGGAAGATAATTATATGAATGATTGCTCTTGTATATAAAATGCATTTTAAATAATCCATTCGGTTACGATTATGTATTTTTAACTTACTAAGTGGGTAATAGTAGTTAAATCTATAATTTCGCACACGGATATAAAGGCTGGAAAGTGAACGCTAACTGCACCAAAATGGCAATTCGTGACCCGCCTGGCCCAGTAAATAACCAACCAACTACTGCGGTATTACCGATAAACTACTTAAACCATACTTAATTCTCGAAGGCCTAGGTAGTAAAACCATACTCGATCCTTATTATTCCATAAAACTTTTCATTACAAAGCCGTATTAAATAGTTTTCTGATTATAATGGAATCTTTAGTTTGCAATCCAAATTAGGTTGTAGTGGATTAACTCCACAGGTCTGTTATTTACTTAGAGCTTCACTAACTTCGTTCCATACATGTAGGTAGAGATGGAAAAAGCGGCATAAATTTAAAATTTTAAAACGTACGTTTTTTATTAAATAACAGGGTTTTTTAAAAGAAGTGTTCATTTAAACACTTTTTCATTTGAAGCTTACTTTGTTTAGGAAAACGCTTAGGATCACGGACTTTGTGCTAAAAAGAGCTAGTAATATTGTGTTCACAGCAGAAAACGAAAGCAGGCCAGTTAAAGGTTTTCAGGTAACTAAGTTTTTAAGAATTTAAAAAAACGTGGTAGCCTAATAGATTGACCCATCGTCTCTTAACTAGAAGCCGTGGGTTCGAATCCGGGTTCGCACCTCTGAGATTTTAGGAATTTATGTGCGAAATTTATTATGATCTTTTCGGTGAAGAAAAACACCGGGATAAAACCTACACGTCGAAAATATTCACAACTCTCGGAAAAAGTGTGAAATCTCCAATCCGCATGGGCTAAGCACTCGCTTGAGAGGAGACCCGTGCTCAGCAGTGGGATGTAAAAATGGGTTGATGATGATACTATGAAGTTTTAAGGACTGAAAATTATAAGAGTGTGTGCTTATATTAAAAAGCAAACTTTTTAAATTGCTTTTCGGTCAAACGCAAAAAAATTAACGTATATTGTCACAAAGTAGTACACAAAATCAAAATTCGGTGCGTTCTTGGTTTACGTGCAAAACACTGGAAGTAACTGTCGGTGTTACAATATCCTTTAATGCTTGTCTTATTAAGGACGGGAAGGCAGTGACGCAAATTCCTTTGCTTCTTGCGTGTTAAATTACTGCCGATAATTTCTATTACATATTGTTTTGTTAGATAGAGAGTTTCTTTCATTAGAGAGTGTTCGAAAGTATTAATTGCATTATAACTCGCAGTTGCGACATTGTCCATGCTTTATTTGATGTTATGAGTTAATGTTATTTAGTTTCTAAATCTAATTCTAAGTTTTTTATTATTCCATGGATTTATTATTTCTGAAATAAATGACTATAAATATTATATTTCAGAACAATTCCTAGGTATCTTTAGTGTTTATGTTTCTTACATTACAGACATGGAGACAAGAAATGAAGGACGCTAAGAATTTCGCAAAGCCAAAGCCGGTAACAGTTGAGCGAGCATCGCATGTCCCGACTTGCCTTATGCAAGGGTTATGCAAGCCGCACGAGTAATATAGGTCAGTGGAAACGCTGCTGCATTTCTGTGTCTAGATTTTTCGATGCTTGAAGATAAGGCTCATATACCATTGGTATATGAGCCTTATCTTCACTTTTTCGTCACTGCACTTGTCAAAAGGCATTATATAAATAATTGTATTTATATAATGACTTTTGACAAGTGCAGTGACGAAAAAGTGAACAATTACATATGATTAACATCAATTGAAATATAAGACGTTTAGGTATGTAGTTAATAGAGGTAATTATTGCATGGTTTAAAACAACTGTGTGTTAGCGGCGAGGAGAGCAACTTTTCTTATATGGTATTGCCACATACAACATTTAGCTCAAATCACACGCTTGCCACACTGTTATTTTATGTGAAAATTTTACCGTTCCATGTTGTTATATTATAAACCTGATTTTATTAGCTACGTTACTTTATACTATTAGGTTTGGCCTTGAGTGTGGAGTTTGCAAAATATATGCTTTATAGTGTTGCTCTACTTTGTATTTCTTGCCACATGAAACTTGTCTTTGTACCTCATTATGGACTAGTTAAAGCATGCGGAAAATTTACATCGAGAGCCAATGTGCAACGGACACTGTCACTTTAAATTAGTTATGTTACTTAAGTGATCTCAGTTTTTTAAAGGAAATTTACGTCTAGGTACATTTAATGTATTGTTACAAATTTTTAAATCGCACTTTCACTTAGCTTAATTCTAAGGTCACGGTCTATGTAAGACTAAAATAGTTGAATACAATCAAAATGTAAAGCTAAAATATGCGAGTAACAAGATATCGGTACATCATGGCTTCTGCCATGTAAAAGATGTAAAAGTCGAACTAGTAGAGCTCCTTGTGAAAGAGTTCGTCCAGGGAAATACTGCCACCTTACCTATTTCTGCCGCCAAGCAGTAATGTCAACTTTACTGCGTTCACGCTCTGAAGGGTAAGGGTGCTGGTGAAATTACAGACACATGGGACTTGTCAACGTATGTCTGAGGGTGACGAGCGCAGTGGCAGTGCCCTCAGATCTTTGTGATTTAAAGTTCAGAGTGGCACTGCAACTGTTATGGACAGGCGTGTATCTTACCATCAGGCGCACGACTTGTTCGTCCAGTCACATAATTAAAAAAAAAACAAAGTGAAGCACAGGCGAGTGAAACTTTTCTTAAGCTTTTTGTTTATTTATTTTATTTAATGTTTTATTAATTTTTATGTAAAAAGATTTTTGATGATGAATTTTTTTGATTACACATATCGAGAGATCACCCAGCAGAATAGCTCGTGTTGATAAAATTAGCTTTTGCCTTTTCTTCCCCAAAATATCGATATATCTATGGTAACAACAGAGTCTCTTTTGATGAATTGCGCACATGTCATACCAGACCACAGCATGCTATTCACATAGCAGTTGGCCAATACCGATTGCCTGACAACTGTCATCATTTGTCTATTTGATTTTGTTACAAGCAGCACCTATGGAGACCTCAATGAGATATAAATTCGTATGCAAGGCATATCCACGTTACCACACCCTTCGCCCTTGACACAAGAGACGTGGTTTTAACGTAACGTTGTTGACTGTACTTTGTGTATATATGTATACGACATTCACCTTTTTGGTTAAACTAACGTAAAATTAGCATTATCTTCTATTGAAAATTCTAAGTTAGTAGTTTAATTAATTATATTATTTATTGAAGAGACAATTTCTGTGTTGTAAGATGTATGTCTTTTAATTGTTGTAGAAAAAGAAATTGAAAAAATACACCTTGAATATGTTTGAAAATGCAAAAATACACCTTGAACAGAGTTAAGTGTGACTCATAAAAATGATCTCAGTCGGTACAGTTAACCTTCCATAAAAGGTTCTTCAGACAAAGTTAACGCTGACATTTTTTATTTATTCAAATGCATTGATGACGTCAAATGACTGTAACAAAAGTTATGTCAAAGCACTATATTTTTGAAGAACAAAAAGAGTTAGTATATACTAACTCATACAAAACCTAAACTATATTCATGGACGTATTTAGAGAAACGTTAATTAAGAAAAAAACCGACCTCAACAATTTGTTGACTTACATCAATTTGCAAGTTTTATTGAAATCGGTTAACGGAAAATGGGACAAATCCTATAAACTGGATTCATCCCCTAATTAGCCACCCTTAGAGGTAGAATATTTTCTTCGAATTTGAGCGGGACATAAAAATGTTAGATAGTACGACTTTCGATAAAACTTTAAAGATGTGGCTACTTAAAAAATGTTTTTACAGTTTAAATGATTTTTCTGATTATAAGCAATATGAATAAATATTAATGAAATTAAATTAACGTAATAATGAATTATGCTCATGCACATAATTAATTTGTACTTTAAACATTAATTAAACTGTACTTTAAACATTGTACGCCCGTAGCGGGTAGATTGTGAGGACTATAATTATGTTCATAAGACCTTAATGTTCACCATATTCACACAATAAATGAATTCTATTCTATTCTATTCTATCGCGTAACATATTCACAAAAAAAACAGTCGAATTGAGAACATCCTCTTTTTTAAGTCGGTTGAAAAAGGTGGAATTATGATAACAACCGAAGTCATTTCAGTCATTTATCGAATATACAGTTTCTGATGTAGTTTTTGTAAGTTTAGGAATAAACGTGATCTATGCCCTTTTGAAGTTGTCAAAGTGAGCATGGGTTAGTACAACGTACTTGTTGTACTGTATTGTAATGTCTAAGTAAGAGATTGTCCCATAAGACAAAAACGAAAGTAACAAACATACCATTGTTCATAGTGTGTGAATATATTTCTGTCAGTGGTTTCTTTTGAACGGTTTTTATGCAGTTCAATCTAAGATTCGGAGCCGATGAATCTGATGGATAGCATTATATAACAATGCCATCTTGACTGTTTGACCTTCACTGAAGCTCGATAATTCGTCGCAAGGCTACAAAGTAAAATGGTAATATATGCATAAGGAAGCGTGTAATAATCCTTTTTATGAGTACATGTTTGAATGTTTTGGCGATGTTTAAAAAATAAATAGAGAAAACTTATCATTTCTTTATTACTTAAAACCAATTCATCAATTTTTATTTACCTTTTTTATCTCGATGCTCTTTAATTGACTGCGAAAAATACGAACATTACGAAACTTTACTTCTTTTTTAATAAAATTTACCATATACTTCTGGGTTAAATCTTCTTGATTTGAAATTTACAAATAAGTATAACACCCTATGAACACACCCTGACTGGTTTTAATAATTATATTTGTATATGATTTATATGCTTAAATATTGTTTGTAATCCCTTTTTTATTGTTTTTTAAACTATTTTTTTATTTAAATCTCGGTTGACTAAGCCGATCATTGTACCTACATGTAAAGAGTTCAAAACTTGGGTTAGTTTGAAAAAATAAATATTAGGTATATCGAAAAAACTGTTTCATTTACTCTGTGTAACAATGTCCAAAATTTAAGAACTCGATATTAAATATTTTATTACCACTGCCTAAACTTATGCTTATTGAACTCCGACTAGTAGAATACTCTAGTGTTCTTGCACTACTTCCCAAATTTATGTAACTGATAATAATGTAAATCATGCAATCGACAATTTGATTCGAAAATCTTACTTTTCTTGCTCAAGATTACTATTATTATGGACTGTCTCACAATCGATAATAGATACCTCCACCATAAAATGTTAAAGTTGATAGGGCAGCATTTGTTTCGGTTTCGAACAAGCAATTTTTTCATAATTGAATGGTCAACAAGTACATTCCAATTTTAATGAAATTAATTAATTGAGTTTTTAGGTTTTTACAATTGTTACACATGGCAAATGAAACCATTTTTCCGGATTTAAATAGCGTATATTTATCGAATTCTTAGGGATGTTTGCGGAGGCGCACACGGATGACTTTCATGCCGTTATGCGCAAGCGAGTCGCGTCCCTGATGATGCGCGTGCGCGGCAGCGCCAACAGCCTTCTGAGCGCGGTGGCCAATACAAATGACAGCCCTATACTTAGTCATTGGACGAAGTCGCATGAGTCGCAGATTAGGTGTGAGAAGTGAGGGAGAATCTGGTAATTTTCCCCCATTTCTCATGTGAATTTTTATTTTATTTTTATTTTTGTATATTAATTGTAATTTAATTTTATTTTCTGAATTAAACATGTGAAATCACTAACATAGCTCATAAGGTCATTGTTACTAACACATATGGATGTAAATCTGAAATAAATGTATTATTATTATATTATTATTATTAGGTTTTCGCGATTGTTACACATAGGAAATGAAACTATTTTTCCAGATTTAAATCGCGTATATTTGTTTTTTCAAACAAACCGACGTTTCGGGCCCTTTACAGGTCCCAGGTCCCAAAAAACAAATATACGCGATTTAAATCCGGAAAAATAGTTTCATTTCCTAGCGTATATTTGTTTTTCAAACAAATCAATGTCTCGGGCCCTTTACAGATCCCACGGTCACGGTTGACTGACATTATTTTATTTGCAATCGTCAGTATTATTGCACAAAAATGACGATTCGTTTCGGCTTAAAGTAAATCGGAGTATTTAAAAAAAAATCTGTAGTAGTTTCGATAAAATCGGACTTCATTCGGACTTTAATAAATGCAAGAACGATGTAAAAGGCAAAAGGCAGTATTACGAATGGTCTTGCAGCGTTTACTTTCACCGATTGGCCTTGCACATACGATCGTCGATTTCGGACACGATATTGTTCAATCGGCATTCGTGTAGTATGATAAATTATGAGTATTGATAGATAGTATGAAGTGCGTAAAGATATTTTCGCATCTTTAGTGTAATAAGGTCACATCTGCAAAATGGCATCTTTTCAGGATAGAGGTTTAATGATTCTATAATCGAAATTATTCGATAACTTTCCTATGCTTAAATATAATAATTTACTTACAAAAGTTTACTTTGAAAGAAGAAAGAAAATCTCACCTCTTAGTATGGAGAGCTTGATCTCATCTTGACACAGTGTAATGACTCTTTCGATCTTCTGAGGTGCAGTGGGAGGATTTCGGCATCTTTTTTCCTGAAAAAAAAAACATAAAGTAAGAAAAATAGATATGTTTATTCTTCAACAACTTATATAAGTACAAATGGATTCAATAGAACCCTTTAAGAATATGTTTAAAAATAAATAAAACCACCTGGAAATGATACGATTTTTTCCAAACAAACCAACGTTTCTTGCTCTAGTAAAGTTTAGTGTTTAGTGTAGTCCGATGATTCCCAAAGTGATCTATTTTGGATGCCCAGGGGTCCACTCCAACCTATAAGGGGTCCATGTCAGCGGAAAAACATTTGGGGTGCATGAGACTTTAATGAATCCCATTTAGGCAGGTCGTGACCAAATTTTTCGCTTTTTTAAATGAAATAATTCACATGACACATACATATATTACTATTTACTTCTACAATATTTTCTTATGATAGACATATAAATTTAACCTTTGAAGTAATTTTACAACAATCGGCACATGGCTATATTCGGTTAGATAAGTGTATAAAACTTAACGTGTTTCTTTTTATAAAGTTTGTCACTCTACAGTTCAACTTAATACAGTGGTACTGCGTCAGCTGTTAAAACTCATTTAAAGAGATGAATTGAGGCTATCAGCGCAAAAGTCGCGTAAAATGGTAATTTTTTTTATACATGAAAATAGCACCCAAATATAAAATATTGTGTATTTTAGTATCATTTAAAGAGTCATATTGGGTAGAAAACAAAAAAAATGTGAATTACATGACTTTTGCGCTGATTGCCTCAATTATTAGTAAAAAAATCTTATTAGAACAAAACAGAAAAAAACTAGCATATAGCCAATAAGACAAAAAGTTTGAGAACCTCTGGTGAATATTGATAATTTTACTGAAAATAATGCAGCATACACTGATAATTCTTCTACTATTGCGAGGCTTTAAAATTCAAAATAATTGCTGATATACTGATGTCATAGTTTTTATCTAATATTCAGTTACCGATTAATAAACACGACAATTGTTTAGCATAAACGTTTTTAAAATTACTGCTAGGTCTAGGAGTTTACGGTCATCCACTTTTACATACACAAAGTTAGTTAGTTCCTGTGGTTGAGTACTAATTTATTTAAATGTATACTAACATTAGACATAAGAATTCTCTTGTTACAAACCAATTTGGACCTTTATAGTCTGCTTTCTGAATAAATCAGTAAATTGTCTTTTATATGTTATGAGTGTTGTGAACTGCAATGTCTATTAGGTAAGTAATTTTGTTTAATTTATCCCGAAGGGTTATATCTGGCCCATGAAAATGAATAATCCTGCCAATGAGTCCGTCGTGGTCATTTATGTGTTGTATTTTCTAAGATATTATTATTGTTCTTATTATTATTATAGGGATTAGACGAGTAAAGTAAAGAAATAAGTAAAAAACAAAACAAACAAAAAAATTGGGGAATGTACAATAATGTCCCCTTGAACATAATGTTTATTATTAAGTACAATAGGTTTGAATAAGTTCTAACTTGTCGACGTGAATCACTGAATAGAAGGTCTGTTGACAAATACAATACTAGTAGGTAATATAAATGAATCTAGTCGAGGATAAAATATAGCACATAAATACGAGTACATACTTGTGAATCGTTTACTACATGCATCAATAGGAATTTAGACACGTATTGCACTTGAAATACATAATATATTTAATGTAGCACTCCTTGCACGCTACAAATACAATAATAAAAGTACAATTTGGATTACAATTACATGACAAATATCATCATCTGTTCAAATATATAAAAGAACATTTTGTTTCACTTTTAAACATTCGGGTAGTTTATGTCATTATACTAATAAAGATAAATAAACTGTAAATGTTATTATAGAATAATGTACTTAGCCTATTAAATCTAGAGTAATTGTTTATGAGATAGTTATACTGATATCAATCATATTTTCAAAGTCAAAGTAATAGTGTCAAATACGCAGGCGAGTACCAAGGCCAATTCTCGACATGGGAGATTAGGCATGCCAACAATCGATTGTTTGCCAGTTGATGTTTGTTGTCAACGACGCTAGGTACTTTTGTAATCGTCATCACCAAATGGTGAGTTATTAGGAGTATTTTAACCAACTTCAAAAAAAGGAGGAGGTTCTCAATTCGAGTTCTGTATGTTTTTTTTGTGAGTAAATTACACGATACGGTTCACAAATTACCAAGTTTGGTGATTCTTTTTTTATTGGAAAGAGGGTACCTCAGATGTGGACCCGTTTAAATTTGAAGAAAATATTCCACCCCTAAGGGTGGCAAACTAGAGAATGAATGACTTTTGAGGTCACTGGATTCTTCTTCTTCTAGACACTTGGACACGATCACTTTGCATTACTGCGTTTCGGTTGTGAAGGATAAGGATGCTGGTGAAATTACAGGCACATGGGAAATTGTCAACTTATGTCTCAGAGTGACAGGCGCAGTGGCAGTATCCCTCGGATCTTTTCGATTTACAGCTCTGAGTGGCACTGCAACTGTTATGGACAGGCGTGTCGCTTAACACTAGGCACACGACTTGTTCGTTCTGTCACTTGGCATCATAAAAAAAAAGTTAAATTTAATAACATATTTTTCAATATATATTACCTAAGACAGTTTTCATGCAATATTTTCTACAGTTTCGGATTTCCCTATACATCCCATTTAAAAAACAATACAATTTACGTACATGACAGACAAAGAATGTTAGAAAAGTTCATTTCCCAATTTGATAAATGAACCTTCTTAACGTTCTTTGTCTTCGTAACGTTTGTTGTTGTTACACAAATGTAATGCCCCATAGTGAATTCCGTTGCTCTTTTTTTTCCATTCCCTACTTTAAGACCAGGTAACTGATGTTATTGTCTGGCACATTATTATTATTATTACTTTCTGTTATTTCTTTTATATTATTTAAATGGGAGGGGTGGTATTCCCCGATAATGGTATGTTTCTGCTACTATATTGTTGAGATATATTTCAATAAACAAATACAAATGCTCTTTATTGCACACGAAAACAAGTACATGATAAAAAAAGATGAAAGACAGGTACAACAAGCGGCCTTATTGCTAATATTGCTATATTTTCGAGGTCACCTTTGGGTTACGGGATAAATTTCAAGATAATAACTAATTGAGGACGCAAAAAAGTAAAATAAATACGAATTTAATACACATACTGCACCAATAAAAAAATTATAAAATATTTAAATAAAAAATAACAATAAATAAATAAAAGTAACATGAGGAAATACTTAACCGAATATGAATTGATTAAAAAAAAATTTGAAATACTTATACTTGCATAAATTATAACCACGGAAGAAAGAAAATATGCGAGTATAAAAAAACATAATATTAAAAACAGAGTAAGAATAGGAGAAAAGAATAATTAGAGTTTTTAGTTACTGAGCTTTCAGTAAAGCTTTAAAAGACTAAGCAATCTTGATCGACTCAGGCAGGAAATTCCACTGTTTGATACTTTTACCCGTCATCTAATTATTGAAAAGTTAGAAGAAACAGTAATTGTTGGCATGCTTTATTTTGAACGCACGACAGCTTAAAATACACTAAAGAAATAATAACTTTGTAACATATACAGGGTACATTCTTGCGTTCTAAAAACAATGTAGATACTTGTACCTACAAAAGGAAATCGAAAGTGGTGCTGCTAACAATATTAAAGAGATTACATTTGATTTTTTGTAACTTACACTTCACTATTACAACCGTTTAACAATATCTTTTTCTAAGAACAGGTTTTGAGTGCTTTGGCACGGTTATGTAATAGTACTGATGATAATTCGTCGAGATCTTTTAAAGGTAAGTAAGAAGGTATAAGAAGTTACATAATATTGCAGACTATTTTTATTATTATATTGCAATTTTAATGCGATTGACAACCTGATTACCAAGACAAGCTCTTGGCAAATCGCATCTTTTGAATATGTAAGAAACTGGTAGCAGTAGAGCTCCTTGTGAAAAACTTCGTCCAGGGAAACTGCCACCTTACTTAAAATGTTTCTAATTTTTAATATTTCTACCGCTAGATGTTAACGTGGGCATTACTGCGTTCCTGTTTTGCAGGTGATGGTGAAACTGCAAGTACAACAATCAACAATGGAATTTGTCAACTTATATCTCAGGGTGACGGGCGCTATGGCAGTGTCCCTCAGATATTTGCGATTTAAAGCTCTGAGTGGCACTGCAATTGCTATGGACAGGTGTGTCGCTTACCACCAGACGCATGACTTGTTCGTTCCGTCATATTTTGATAACACAAAAAAATAAAAAAGTAGTTGGAACAAAATCGATACTCGTGCGGTCGTTTAGACAATAAAAAACATGACTTTTAATAAAATTCTTGAAACTTGAACTCTTGAACTCAAAAGTATAAAATTAAAATCATTTATTACATTTTTTTTCATATTTATAGTGAGGTTGCTCTTTGTTCAAGTTAATCGTTAATGACATAAACGTAAACTATCGATTCATCGTTTCAATTAGGTACTCTGAAACACTCTCTGAAACGACGGATCATGAAGACAAATCACCCCGTATATGGGGTTCTTTACGTCAACATTCACCATTGCCTATTATTAACTGCCTCCGTAAACGAACGGTTACCATACTGGAATGCCACACTGAGGCGCAGGGTGCGATTCTCGGGCCAGCAAAAATATTTGTATGGCTTACATTTATTTCTCCCGTGAGGTTAAATGCAATACGTGGTTGTCAATGTATTTGTTCATGGCTTCGGCGATTCAGGTATAATAATAGGGGTTAAAGTATGAAATTGCCGATTTGTACTGAAAATCTAAATTGTTTATTTTTTAAATTTTTAACAAATTTATTTAATCAAAATAGTTGCCATTATTATCTATACATTGCTGCCATCTAATGGGAAGGTTATTAATGCCTTTGCGATAGAACTCCGACGATCTAGACTGCACAAACTGTGTGAAAGCATTTTGTACTGCCTCCTGGGAAGAAAACTGCTTGTCACGTAGATAA